CTTACACGATCGAGGGATCGAGGACAGGGCGGCGGCGGCGACGACGACGACAAAGTCTCATCTTAGAGCCTTGCGTGGGGGGTCTCTTGGAGGGTCTCTTGGGGGTCTGTAGAGCCCACGACGACGACGTCGCGGTGGCGGCGGCGGCGACGACGACGACAAAGTCTCATCTTAGAGCCTTGCGTGGAGCGGTGTCTTGGGGTTCTCTTGGAGGGTCTCTTGGGGGTCTGTAGAGCCCACGCTTTCACGATCCGACGACGTCGCGGTGGCGGCGGCGGCGACGACGACGACAAAGTCTCATCTTAGAGCCTTGCGTGGGGTGTCTCGGGGTTCTCTTGGAGGGTTTCTTGGGGGTCTGTAGAGCCCACGCTTTCACGATCGAGTGATCGAGGACAGCGCGACGACGACGACGACGACGTCGCGGTGGCGGCGGCGGCGACGACGACGACAAAGTCTCATCTTAGAGCCTTGCGTGGGGGGGTCTCCGGGGGTTCTCTTGGAGGGTCTCTTGGGGGTCTGTAGAGCCCACGCTTACACGATCGAGGGATCGAGGACAGCGCGACGACGACGACGTCGCGGTGGCGGCGGCGGCGACGACGACGACGATCCAGCGTAATCCAGGCCCCCAGCGAATCCGTGTGTTCTTACGTATGTGCCTATAGATTAGGCTTCCCAGGTCCACACGGCCCCCAAAGAGTTCCCTCAGGGCCCCCAAAGAGCTCCAAGACGGTCCGAGAGGGCCTTGGGATCGCCCGAGGCAGCATGCAGCACTACCGACGGTACGGCAGCAGCGACGACCGTGCCTTGCGCTTGTGGGACATCTGTTTACTCGGGTACACACGATACCTGCGACGCCAGCTCCAACACGTGCGTTCAGGCGAGTTCTGTTAGATGTATGGGAGGAGGAGGAGGACGCAGAAGAGGAGGAGGAGGAGGAGGAAGACACGTGTCAAGTCCTGCATTCGAGCTGCGCCTTCTTCCCGACATGTTTTTCGGGCGGCCGCCCCCGCAGCGCCGGGGCAGGCCGAGGGGGGAGCTGGCCGAGGTCACGTCGAGGTTCGAGCTTCGAACTTCAGAGTCCGAGTCTTGAGGCTTTCTGGCCCTCGGGGGCCGTCCTCGTCGCCCCGGCTGGACGCAGCCCTGGCACGTCGCGTGGCGGGTCCCTGGCACATCCCGCGGCATATCCATTGGCACGTTCCGTAGCGCGTCCCCTTGGCACGTCCCGCGGTGCGACCCCATGGCACGTCCCCTGGCACGTCGCCTGGTGTATCCCTTGGGACGTTTCGCGGCGCGACCTCCCGGCATGCTCCCCTGTCCATCAGCTCTGGGGCAGCTACTATGTGTTCAGGCAGCTCGGGCTTAAGATCCAGATCAGTTCGGTCAGGACTCGGATGCAAAGGGGGACTCGATCCATGACGCTATAGAGCACAATCGCTGCATGGCACATCGCAATTCAGCACGGTGCAGCACAGCACAGCCATCGGCAGGGTACATCAAGATCGATACACTCAGCGTTGCAGTTGCCCGTCACGCAATCAGGTGTCTTTGAAAACGCTGCCATGTGTTACAGTTCTATATTCCTTTCCGGGTTCGTGGGTCGATCATGTTTTCGCGGAAGGAATGGGGATTTGGGGTTTGGGAGGGGCGAGGGTGAAGTTGGGGGACTGGTGCCTCGGTGGGGGGGGGGGGGGGGATCACGGTGACAGTGGAGGGGTTTGGGGGCTTGAGGATGAGACTTCGGGGGGGGGCCTGGGGATGGGGAAGCGGGGGGTGGGCACGGGACGGGGCTCGGGGGGCGGCCCGTGGGGAGCCTGCGGGGGCGCTGCGGGCACGGGGGGCGGTGGGAGGGGCGAGGCCGGGCGAGGGAGGAAGGGCGGGCAGGGCGAGGGAGCACGGAGCGAGAGACGCCACACGGGCGGCAGGGGCCCAGGGGGGGGGGGGCAGAGGGGAGGCGCGCGGGCAGGGGAGCGCGGAGGAGGGCCGCCGGGACCGGGGGGACGCCCCGCGCCCGAGGCTGGGCCGCCTCCGCGGACCAGGGCCTCGTGCGGGCCGAGCTCCGGGCGGACGAGGCCCGGCCCCGCGGCCCGGGGCCCGCGAGGGGGCACGCCGCAGGGGCAGGCCAACGCGCGGCCGGGCCGGGCCCAGACGCCGTTCTGCTGGGCTCCGGCTGAGTTTTTTGTTCCGCGGTGGCCAGGGGGGGTGCAGGAAGACAGGCAGAGCACAGCGAGGAACAGAACGAGAACAGCACGAAGATCAGCGTTGAGGTCCAGCCCTGGCGCGCGGCGGCGACGCCTCAGCAGCAGGCTCCTTTGACCTTGAGGCCCCCCTCGTGGCCACGGCTGGGCGCACCTCGACGCACTGCTCAGGACGGGTCCATGCCGGATCCGGGGATCGATCCTGTGAGAAGGTACTTCTTGAAGACAGATCAGTCTGCAACACAAAGAATGTATTTGTTTGGAAGGCAGACCTGCCTTTCAAACAAAAAGCGTACTGGTCTGCTCTGTCAGGGCGACTTTTTCCCGGAAAGGGCATCGGCCCCGGATCTGACGGCTGTAGGGCCGGCGAATTTCTTTTGCGACAAATATCGAGGTCGCGTAGGGCCGGCGAATTTAATTTTGAGGATGTCTCGAGCGAAACGCTTATGTTTCAGAATTTGGTTGAGGATGCAGAATTTGGTTGAGGATGTCTCGAGCGAAACGTTTGTTCCCTACCTAGGCTCTGCCTAGAAGGGTTCTTACTCGGTTGGCTTAAAGGGCCAGGCAGTGGAAATCGCCCCGGGCGGTTCCCCCGGTCCCCTGGGAGCGGTTCCCCCAGTTGCGCTCCCTGGGTGCCCAGCAAAAGCAAAAGCAAAGGCAAAAGTGAAGGCAGAAGCGAAGGCAAAACAAAAACAGACCATAGCATAGCATAGCATAGCATAGCGCAGCATAGCATAACGCAGCATAGCATAGCATCGCACAGCCTAGCCGCATAGCATTGCGCAGTATAGCATAGCATAGCATAGCGGAGCATAGCACAGCATAGTATAGCATATCATTTCATAGCCCAGCACAGCATCCACTATTGCTGCTGCTGTTATATGTATATACTTATATGTGTGTGCGCACGTATGTTCCATGCATGTTGTCCGTCTGTGGGCCATCATGAGCCCTTAGTCGGGCAGCTTGAGCCCTTAGGATCCACGAAGGTTTCGCACATAGCACCGGCCAGGAGACATGACACCCGACGTATTATCGCATGTCATATTTTTCTATATATGCAACTATATGTATATATATATATATATATATATATATATATATATATATATACATCACACCCATGTGGAATGCTGCATGTGTGTGTGTGTGCGCGTGCGTGTGTGTGTGCATGTATTTGTTCAGCACCGCGTCGTAATGCTTTTCATCCTCGCTGCCGTTCAGCCTCAATGGTGCAGCAGTGTATTGCGTCATGCGGACATTCTTACGGACCTCGAGTGGTGAGGCACGAGACCCAGCATGCAGTGTTGAGCATCCTGCAGAGAACAATGTTCCAAGCAGTGTTGAGCAACCTGCAGAGACATTCAATTCCATCGCGGCCGTGAATCGCTGGTTGACTGTGCAAGGTGCTGCGTGTAACGCACCAGACTTTCAAAAACTGCGTGCGGCAGTTTCGGTGCTCACGAAGGCGCCCAAACCTCGACGGGAAGAGGTGCCTGTCTTTGCTCTCCATGGAATGTGCGACAGAAATATCAGAGACGACGCCGACCATTCGCGACTTTGATCACAGAGTTGCAGCAGGCGGTCATCACCGAAGGCAGCAGGCTCCGAGCTAGTCTCGATGGCCAGACCGGAGCCCCCGCGAGCAGTGCTGAACAGCCTGCAGCTCTTGCAGGGGCCGCGAGCAGTGTTGATCCCAGTGCAAGCAGTGCTGAACAGCCTGCAGCACTTGTAGGGGCCGCGAGCAGTGCTGAACAGCCTACTGTCGCTGGGCGCGCAGGTGCCACAGCGTCAGTGCTGCGCAGCCTGGCCGCGAAGACAAAATGCCCCGGGGATGGGGCCTCGTCGGGCCCCTCCTCAGCAGCACTCGGCGCGGCACTCCGAGGCCGCGACGAACCCGCAGCAGCCATGAAGCACCGCGCCCCCGTGACGAGACCAGTGCTGCGCAGCCTGGCCCAAGGAGCAGTCAGGGTCGCCGCGCGGGCTTGCTCTCCACAGCAGAGAGCCAGCCGCGGGGGGCCGGGGCGAGCTCCAGCTCGACACGGTCGCCGCGCACCGACGCGCAGGCGAGTGCTGCGCAGCCTGGCATACCTACCAAGCGGCAGCGAGACAACTCCATCGTGAACATCCTGCGGGGCAACCTGCAAGACTCCGACAGTTCTGCCAGCGCTGCCGGAGCCGTGGAGAGCAACGCCTGTGCGGCACAGCCCGGCCCACCGACGAAGCAGCAGCGGCTGGCAGCCATCGCCGCGGGGATCAGCAGCTTGCAGGGAGATGTCGTCACCAATAGCAGTACCGCGCAAAGTGGTGCAGCAGCAACAGCACCAACGCCAGCAGCAGCAGTGCCACCACCTCCACTTGCAGCACGACCCGAGCACATTTAACGCAGTTTCCATCAGTATGGCTCGAGCGCCGATGATCTTGCAGAGCCACGACGAGCCATGGTCCAAAAGGCGCGGGGGCCCATGCGACTCAAAAGCCAGACGGCCGCAGACGACGACGGCTAAGCAGGCGAATCAGTCGCAAGGCATACCTGCCAGTCAAAGGACACTCCAATCAGCAGAGATCCGCACTCTCTACAATATGCATTGTGGCACGCATCAGCTCTGGAGACAACCGCGCAGAGGCCGCGTCCGCGATTGCAAAAGGTCACTGCCGTAGCATGCCGGCACCTTGTGTCCGCAATCCAAACGCACCTCGCCGCACGAGGGCCACTGAACTAGGACATTTTCCCGTTCTTCACGAAGCTCCACGAGGCCACCGCCGCAACGCAGCACGCAGCGCGCGCCGCCCCGCGCCGTGCAGGAGCTCCACGCGCGCCTCAGCGAGGCCGAGGCGCTGCCCACCGCGCCGTCCGGGCGCCGCGACCCGAACGAGCAGCTCTTCAATGCCCACGCGTGGTGCTCTTGGGCGATGCTGGCAGCGTTGGAGCTACCAGACGTCCCTTTTCATGTGCTACTGAGCACGCACCGCGCGGCCACGGCCCTGCAGGGCGCCATCGCAGAGCGCCGCGCGCCCGATGCAAAGACAGCCCCAGAGCGGCGACGTTCCACCCCTGCCGCCCCTGAGGTCTGCGAGGTGCTGAAGCAGTTCGACGGCGATCCTTGCGCGCAGCACTTGAAGCAGGACTGGCTGCTGAAGGCCTTCAAGATCCCAGAGGCACGCCGCCGCGACGCGCGCCACTTCGCTGAGCTCTTCAACGCCGCCACAGAGGATTTCTGCTTGCGCGCTAAGCAACGCGGGATCACGGCCACACCACTCTCAAAACGCATTTTAGCGACGTGCACCATATTTCGCCTCTTGCTCACTTCGCAGAAGCCTCCAAAGGCATTCGTTCTACGCTTTGGGCCTGCCCTGCGGCTTCTCGCCAACTACAAGGGCGACTGTGGCATGCGCTACGCGCCCCGGGACGCGCGTGGTGCGGATGTGGAACTCGCGGCGAACGGACTCCTGGCCTACTTCACCCGCCTCGCAGACAGTGTTGCACAGCTTGTCTCGTCATCGGCATCCAACAGTGGTGCGCGGCCTGTAGGGGCACCGGACCTCGTGCTTCCCGTGGCCTCGCCACCGGTCATGTGCTGGATTTGCGGCGAAGGGTTCACGCGCGACGGCGCCTTCTTCAAGCGCTGCTCCGACGCCCGCGGCGGTTGCGCGGAGTATCGCAAGAGGCCCCTGTGGCGAGCGCGACAGGGTGGCGTCAAGCCCCTGTTGCCCTGGGTCAAAAGGCGCATCTTGCAGTCCGCCACCTTCCACTTGACGTTCTCGGTGCCTGGCTCCTTGTCGCTCCATTGGAACCGCCCAGAGGCCATCGCCGTGGCAAAGGCGAGGTGCGAGGTGGCTTGCGTCGCATGTGCGCGGAAAGATTGGCTTGAGAACCGTTATCCCGTGTGCCTTTGGCGGGGGGCCACCGATGCACGGACATGCGCGCAGCTCCTGCGCACAGACAGCGGAACCTCGACGTTCCTCGCCCGCGGCGACGCCCTTTGCTTCTGGAGCCGTGGCAAAATCAACGGCATCTGTCCACGCGCGGGTGCATGGACCGATGGACGTTGACCCCGAAGGCCGAGTTCCTCGCCTCTTCTGTGCTGCGCCCTTCAGACCATTCCATGGCATGGTTGCTACGCACCCGACGCGCACCGCCCCTGCCCGACATCCGGCAGGGTCGCCCCAGCAGCGCTGCGCAGCCTGTGCGCCGAGGGGGCCAGCAGGGCAGCGCTGAATAGCCTGCAGTCCGCGATGTCGGGGCACCGATGTGAGCAGGGATCGGCGACCCTTGCCAGACAGCGCACATTTGCCGCGATTGTGCTGTCTGTTTGTGCGCCGAAGAGCAGTTCGTCAAAATGCCCGAGTTTGCCCTCGCGAGCGATCTCTGGCTTGGTCGGGGGCGCGCGGCCCTTCAGAGCGCATCCCTGGCTCTTCGGATGTTGCTGGGCCTTGGAGGAGCACGTTTCTTTCCGCGTGCTCCTGTTGGGCAATGGCCAAGAAGAGGCGCTGCAGTCAGGACTCACTGGCAACCGCATCCTGATCTCGCAAGCTTCGGCCACACTCGCGGTGGCACTGCCGCCGTCCTCCACGCGCTTGAAGGACAGTATCGTAGTGATTTTCGGCCAGGACACTGACGACTTGCGCAAGTGTCAGCTCCTCACCGCGCAGCGCGAAGCCTACAAGGCCCTCGCTGCGCAGCGTGCCCGGGTCGACGCCATCTTCGCCGAGATTCCCGTGGGCCAGGCCGCCGTGAATGCCCTCCCGCTCAACGGCGTGCCACGGCAATTCCTGGACTGTGCCGCCCAGATGCCGGAGGTCGAGCGTTGCGGCGCGACGCGCTCAGGGCTGGGCACTGTCCGCCACCCCTCGGGCGCGGCCCGCCCCGAGGGCGATGTCTCCGACGAGCTTTCTGAGAGCGACGGCGACGAGCGCGCTGCGACAGCGTCAGGGGGGGCTGTTCCAGCTCGCGCTGCACAGCCTAGCGCTGCCTCACAAAACGTGGGGCACCTCAGCCAGTTCGAAACCCCAATAGGCATGGCCCCCCGCCGCGCCCACGTTCGCGCAGCACGTGGCCGCCTGTATAAACACAACTTGGAACGCGCGCGGGAGTTAGTCGCCTCTTCCAGTTCTTCCGCCGACCGGAATCCGAGCGGACAGAACGATTGCAGTGCTGCGCAGCCAGTTTCCTTGGCCACGGCCGCAGCCGCTGCGGAGGAGCATTGCTTCAGGGCCGTCGTGGACTTGCGAGAGGCCGCCCGGCAGCTGAGCACCCGCAATTGGGAGAGGAACGTCGCTCTCCTAGACAAGGCTGCCGAGTGCGACAAGGCCCTCTTCGTGCCCTCGCAGAAACCTTTGAGCATGTTCGACCCGACGACCTGGTCCAAGCGTTTTTCCGGGTGGTGGTTTGGCGACGGCCACCCGAACGATTCGCAGCGACCACGTAAGGTCACTTTTGAGCAGCTCTTTGCCGCCCTCCTGCACCGAGAGGAGCTCGAGTACCATCTCGCAGAGGATCTGGCACCGTGCCGGGCACGGCGCAAGAGCAGGTTCGACACGCCGGAACACGTCTGTGTTTTCGGCGACACCTTGCGCCGCCTTGCTCTCTTCAAGGGCACGCGTGCCGCCGTCCGACGACGAGGCTTCCAGGAAGATGCGCGGCTCGTTGCGAACGCCGCTACAGCACATTGCCTGCGAGCCCTCGCCCGCGAGGCTTCAGGGGGCGGGAGCGCCGAGGCGCTCGCACGAGACGACCGCGTCTCCAAATAACTGGCCACTGCCTTGCGACAGGTGCTCATCAGCGCGAAAGACGTACCTTTGACAGACGGCTGCAAACGGAACCTTCGACATGAAGGCCATAACGTGAACGTGGCGTTTGATTCCTTGACAGTATTTGTCACGTTCAATTTCGCCGACAACTACGCACCGCTTTTTTTCAGGCTTTGCAGCGGCGAAGAGGTCATCGGCGACATCGCGTGTGATCTCAGTGCTGAACAGCCTGACATGCCATCGTTGCACAGCGTGCAGCAATTCATTGCGGAGTCCCCGCGGGCGCAGGTTCAGTTCTTCAAGCTCATGGACGACATCGCGGACATTTATTTTATGGGGATTGACGGCTCCTTCATTGGCAGGCACCGCGTGCAGCATCTTTTCCGTCACGCCCTCCGAGAAGACCGTTTCCCTTCCACTTACATGCCCGGCCTTGGGGGTTTGGCATCGCGGAACTCGAACCTTTCGAGTCCCAAGCCCGTGGCTTTCAGCACGGTCGCCGCAAAAGCAAAAACAAAAGCCTCCGTCCCCCCGGGGCCCCAGACCACCGCGAGGGCAAAGACAAAACGAGGGAAAGGACGAGAGGAGCAAAACGAGAAGTTGGAGAAACGGAAAGGGCGAGAGAAGGATAGGGCGACAGGCGTTGCGCCCCACGCGCGCCGCGACACTTCCCGAGGGAGACGGGCGGGGAGCCGGAATCGGACGGGGCGGAGGAGAAAGAAGAGGAGGAAGGCGAGAAGAAAAACCAGGAGCAGTGGCAGGGGCGGGAAGGTTAGGGGGGGCAACCCGGGGCCGGTTCTTCGTCTTGGGTCGATTCAGGACGCCCTTGGCTTGCGAAAAGGGCCTCCTGGGGCCTCCCGCGACGATGACGTGCCCGACCCTTGATCGTCCAATTGGGGCCGCGGACGGCGACGACGACGACGACGGCGACGACGGCGACGACCACGGCGACGACGACGACGACGGCGGCGACGACGACGACAACGACGACGACGACGGCGACGGCGACGCCGGCGACGGCGACGGCGGCGGCTACGGCGACGACGACGACGGCGGCGACGACGGTGGCGGCGGCGACGACGACGACGACGAGAGAGGCAGGCGGAACTCCGAGGTGGAACAGGGGGCGGAGGCGCAGGGCAGAGGGCAGCCAACCGTCGTCGCAGTTGACCGGGGGAGGGCCCAGAACTGCGACCGTTGGTTCGAATGGGGGGGCCAGGGTGGTTCAGAACGGGCCCCATGCCCGGAGGCTCCCGAGCTGGCCCAAGAGGCGCCCGAAGCGCCCCAGGTTGTCTGGGAGGTGGCTGAAGAGCGCGCGGAGATGGCTTCGGGATGGACCACGAGCGCTCAAAGACAGCCCGAGACTGCTCCTAGACGGCCGCAAAGGCACTCGAGACGGTCCAAGAGGCCGCCGAGAAGGCCTTCCGAGGGCAAAAATCAAGCGTTTCCCATGGACAAACGTACATATCCTGGATATTTGCCTTTCAGTCCTACCAGCGGCCGCGGCGGCCCCAGAGGCTCCCAAAATGAGCCCCAGACGGCCCAACGGGCCCCCAAGAGGGCCCCCAGACGGCCTGAAGAGGGTTTCAGGCAGCACAAAAGAGCTCCAACGCGACCCAAGAGAGTACCCAGGAACCCCGATGGGGGCCAACAGGACGCCTACATGGTTGGAGAGGGCTCCTCGAGGGCCCCAAGACGGGCTCAGGTCCCCATGACGGGCGAAGAGGGACCCAGAACGGCGGAACTGGGCTCCCAGAGGGTCCAAATCACGCTACCGAGGAACCCCACATACTTAACTTAAATCTTGTGTGTTTGCTTAAGTTTATAATCTATGCGCAATTCTGCGTTCTCAGCCCTCGTCGCGAATGTTCCCCTATGTGTCATCCAACGCCATATTGCTTGAACCTCCTCCCTCTTCCTATCCTTCTGTCCTCCGTCGAGGACAGATTCGAGCCAGCCAGCGGCCGCGGTGAGGGACCACCCCCTGCGCACCCTCTATGGTGTCGAGAAAGTGCCACGCCTGCTATGCCCTGGACGACCGTCGTGCATAGCGGCCGCGGTGAGGGACCACCCCCTGCGCAGCCTCTATGGTGTCGAGAAAATGCCGCGCCTGCTATGCCCTGGACGACCGTCGTGCATAGCAGCCGCGGTGAGGGACCACCCCCTGCGCACCCCCTTCGACGTCGAGAAAGTGCCACGCCTTCTCGCGGAGGAGTGCGTGGCACTCCTCCCAACACCTTCGCACTCCTCTCAACTCTTCCTCCTCTCAACTCCTCCGCGCTCCTCTCAACTCCTTGCGTCAACTCCTCCGCATCCTCGGGAGAGGAAAGGAAGGAATGGAGGGAGGGTAAGGAGGGGCGGGAGAGAACGGGAGAACTTGTAACTCGGAACTCGAAATCGCAGCTGCCGCCGGCCAGGGCGTTGCATGTGGGCGCCGTAGCGCCAGGCATGCAAGTGGCCATGGGGTGCCACGACTGCTATGCCTGGACGACTTGGGGCGTATAGAGACCGCTGTGAGAGACCACCCCCTGCGTACCCCTTATAATGTCGAGACAGTCCCACGCATGCTGTGCCCGGGACGACATAGGCGCATAGCGGTCGCGCTGAGGGACAACCCCCTATGGTGTCGAGGAAGTGCCACGCCTGCTGTGCCCGAACGACCGGGGCGTATACAGGCCGCGGTGAGAGACCACCCCCTGCGCACCCCCTATGGTGTTGAGAAAGTGCCACGCCTGCTGTGTCTGGACGAGCGGGGCGTATAGAAACCGCGGTGAGAGACCACTCCCTGCGCACCCCCTACGGTGTCGAGAAAGTGCCACGCCTGCTGTGCCTGGACGACTGGGGCGTATAGAGACCGCGGTGAGGGACCAGCCCTTGCGCACCCCTTACGGTGTCGAGAAAGTGCCACGCCTGCTGTGCCTGGACGACAGGGGCGTATAGAGACCGCGGTGAGAAACCATCCCCTGCGCACCCCCTTGTGTTTCCGGCCTGCTGTGCCTGGACGACGGGCGTATAGAGACCGCGGTGAGAGACCACCCCCTGCGCACCCCCTATGGTGTCGAGAAAGTGCCACGCCTGCTGTGCCTGGACGACCTGGGGCGTATAGAAACCGCGGTGAGAGACCACCCCCTGCGCACCCCCTACGGTGTCGAGAAAGTGCCACGCCTGCTGTGCCTGGACGACTGGGGCGTATAGAGACCGCGGTGAGAGACCAGCCCTTGCGCACCCCTTATGGTGTCGAGAAGGTGCCACGCCTGCTGTGCCTGGACGATGGGGCGTATAGAGGCCGCGGTGAGAAACCACCCCCTGCGCACCCCCTATGGTGTCGAGAAAGTGCCACGCCTGCTGTGCCTGGACGACTGGGGCGTATAGAGACCGCGGTGAGAGACCAGCCCTTGCGCACCCCCTATGGTGTCGAGAAAGTGCCACGCCTGCTATGCCTGGACGACCGGGGCGTATAGAGACCGCGGTGAGAAACCATCCCCTGCGCACCCCCTATGGTGTCGAGAATATGCCATGCCTGGTGTGCCCTGGAAGACTGGCGCGTATAGAGACGGCGGCGAGAGACCACCCCCTGCGCACCCCCTATGGCGTCGAGAAAGTGCAACGCTTGCTACGCCTGGACGACTGGCGCGTATAGAGACAGCGGTGAGAGACCACATCCTGCGCACCCCCTATGGTGTCGAGAAAGTCCCACGCTTGCCATGCATTGCGAATCCTACACGCACGTCTTATATATATATATATATATATATATATATATATTGTGTGTCATGTGTATGTGTATGATGAGTGCGCGGCCTGATGCAGTGAACATGCGTCTTGTGTTTGCCCCTATGGTGTCGAGAAAGTGCCACGCTTGCCATGCACTGCGAATCCTACACGCACGTCGTATACATTGTGTGTCATGTGTATGTGTATGATGTGTGCGCGGCCTGTGATGCAGTGAACATGCGTCTTGTGTTTGCGTGTGTGTGTGTGTGTGTGTGTGTGTGTGCGTGCAGCTGTATGTAGACGCGTGTCTCATGTACTTGCCGCGCATGTTGTTGCAAGTGTTGAGCGCGGCGGGTGAGGAGAGGAAGAAGAGGAGGGGAAGAGTGAGGTGTATGAGGGTGTGTCGCGGGTGCGGCGCGGCAGGGAAGAAAACCAGAACCCTACGAAACATGTGGGGAAAAAGGCTTACCAGGACTCCCTGAAGACGGTCCAGGAGGCCGCTGAGAAGGTTGCTGGGTGCAAAAAGCGATCATTTCCAATGGAAAAGCGTTCATTTCTATGATATTCGCTTCTTGTGTTCCATCGGCGGCCACGTCGGCCCCAACGGCTCCCCAAATCGGTGCCGCGCGGTCCACGAGGCCCCCACGAGGGCTCCAAGACAGCCGCAAGAGAGCGTCGAGCAGCACAAGAGAGCTCCAAAACAGCCCGGGAGAGTCCCCAGGGGGCCCGAGGGAGCCACTGGAGGATCCCTACATGGTTGGAGAGGGCTCCATGAGGGCCCTGAGACGGCTCAGCTACCCATGACATTCCCAGAGGGGCTTGGGACAGCCGAAATTGGCTCCCAGACTGGCCACAAAAACCCAAAAGGACCCCCCAACGACTGTCCAAGAGGCCGTTGAGAAAGGCCCTCAAAAGGCAAACATCAAGCATTTCCGATGGAAAGCGTATATTTCTGGGAGCTTCGCTTTTCAGTTCAACCAGCGGTCGCGACGGCCCAAGAGGTTACCAAAATGGGCCCCAGACGGCCCCATAGGCCCCAAAGAGGGTTCCAGGATGGGCTGAAGAGAGCTTCGAGCGGCACAGAAGAGCTACAAGACGGCCCAAGAGAGCCCCCAGGAAGCCTGAGGGGGCCACCAGAGGATTCCGACATGGTTGGAAAAGGGCCCCAGGAGGGCCCCAAGACGGGCTGAACCCCCCACGACGAGCCAAAAGGGACCCGGAACGGCCGAAATGGGCCCTCAGACGGACCAACAAAGGCCCCAAAGGAATCCAAAGGAAGGCCCGGGGAGGCTCCAGAGACTGCCACAATGCTTTTAAAAAGGCTCCTGGCACGCGTTCCAGTAGGCACCCGTGCACTGGGTGCGTTGAGAGACGAGAGGAGGTGGTCAAGGAGGAGGAGGAGGAAGAGGAGGAGGAGGAGGAGGAGGAGGAGGAGCAAAGCAGGAGGAGGAGGAGGAAGAAAAGGGGGAGGAGAAGGAGGAGGAGGCGCAGGAGGAAGAAAAGCAGGAGGATGAGGAGGAGGAGGGGGAGGAATATCAGGAGGACGAAGAGGGGGAATAGTAGGGGGAAAGGGAGGCGGGACATTTTTGTTGTAATATTATCTTGTTCATGATTCTCTGGTTCGGGGAGGAATGCTGAGGACGAGGGGGGAAGGGGCGCAGGATGAAGAGGGCTCGAGAGGAGGAAGGAGGTGAAGCTGGTGAAGAAGCACAAGGAGGGACACACCGAAGAGTGAGGAAGACACGGGGGAGGAGGAAAAGGAGGAGGATGAAGAGGATGAGGAGGTGAAGGAGCAGGGATCCCTTTTCAGGGAGACGCCGACGAGGAACAAGATGAATATAAGATACTGGAAAGAGGGAGAAAAGCAAGAGGGAGGAGGAGGGTAAGGGGACTGCAGTGGACCGGGGATGATGACTGCGATGACGCTGATGATGATGATGATGATGATGATGATGATGATGATGATGATGATGATGATGATGACGATGACGATGACGATGACTATGCCGATGACGACGCCGACGACGACCAACAATATGTTGATGATGCGGATGGCTTTGCGGGAAAATGCGATAACGATGATGACGATGGCGATACCGATGCTGATGATAATGGTGATAATGATGGTTGTTGTGATGGTCATGGTGATGGTGAAGATGACCATGACCATGACGATGACGATGAAGATGACGGGTTTGAGGATGATACACATGGCGATGATCATGACCCTAGCTCGAACTTGAGCGCGCGCGAAGCGCGCGATGGTTCTAGTATCTATATCTATTTATACATTTACACATATCTATACACATAGATGTATGCATAGATATACATGAAGTCGAGGGTTCTCTCCCCGCGTCCCCCTCCCTCCCCTTCTGCCGCCTCTCCTCTGTCACCGCCCTTCACTCCGCCACCTCTCTGCCGCTTCTGCCTCCCCTCCCACCCCTCCCTCCAGTCGGCCACCTCTCCTCCTCTCCCCTCCCCTCGCCTGCCCTGCTCTCTCCGCCGCCTCCCCTCTCCTCCCCCTCCCGTCCCTCTGCCATCTCTCCCCCCCTCGTCTCCGCCGGCCCTGCGGAGGACGCGAGGGTCCCCAGCGGCTTCTTCAACGCCTTGGCGGCGGGAGGCGGGCCAGCCTTCCCCGTCTCGTCCTGTTCATCTGCCCCGTTGTTCGGGTTCGGTGGCGGCGATCACCAGGGTTCGGGTTCGAACGCCACGGCTCCCAGCATCACCAAGCGCATCGAGAGCGTGGAGGATGCCGTTGAGGATATAAGTCCCGTGCGTCGTGGCTGGAGGCTTCGGAGGAAGTGACTACGATCGACAGCCGCATGGACAATCTGGAGACCAAGATGCATCCGATCGAGCATGCAGTGACGACGATCGTAGGGGCTCTCCACGCATTAGGGCTCGAGATCAGCCCAGCCTGAACCACATCACCCTCGTGAGGATCAGGAGTGTCTGTCTTTCAGAGCGTGAATTACCTCCCCCGCTTTCGCTTCCAGGCAAAACCAAGCCATACCACGCGCCTCCTCGTCAAGCGGCCTGACCTGTACAGGCCGCAATTTGGCACCGTTTGGTATCTCTTGGAAGCGAGGGTGGTCAAAAGCGAGGGAGGTTTGTTTTCCCCCGAGTCTTCGGAGTTCCAACGGGATGAGCTTCTAGCGGAGTGCTTTTGTCAGTATGTGCCACGGAGCAGTGCGCTGCCGCCCGCCTCGCTCGGCCACCGCTGCGCCCGCGCTCCGCTGTGCTCCGGCCGTTGGGGAGTCTCCTGCGAGCGCGGGGCGCCCAGAACGACCCTTTCCTGGCATCGTCCTTTCCGCATTGGCATTTTCGCCAGTGGGAAGCAGTTGTTTATCCAGAGGGGGAGGGGCAGAGGGGGGAAGGGAGGAGAAAGAATAGGCGGGTGAGGAGGAGGAACAAGAGGAGGAGGAGGAGGAGGAGGCGGAGGAGGAGGAGGAAGAGGCGGAGGAGGAAGAGGAACAGGAGGAGGAGGCGGAGGAGGAGGAGGCGCAGAAAGGCCCGAGACCTCTTGGATGTCTCTTCGGGTGCTTCTTGAGAGCGTCTTGGAGTGTTCTTGGGACGTGTTGGGGGCCTCCTGGCGGTCCCGGGGGCCTCATGGAGCGTCTTGGGTGCCTCGGGGTGACCTCGTGGGACCTCTGGGGGGCCTCTGGGGATCTCTTTGGATCCTTTGGGGGGCCTCTTGGGGCCTCCTGTGCGTCTTTTGGGCCCTCTTGGGAGCCTTGGGGGACATCTTGTGGCCATCTAGGAGAAATTCGATCAAAGAAGGGGGTGCTCCATCAGCGTCCTCCTCCCAGGAGGCCAACACTGGTCCAACACCTGCGGTAAATTAGCGATTTCAGCTTTCTCGCTAAGGCCTTTTTCGACGCCCCACTGGGCCGCGGGGCGCTCCGCCCGGGTCCGGGGGGAAAAGGGTACGTATGGGGGAGGGGTCAAAACACCCTCATAGGTAGTAAGCCGTCTAGTTCACTCGTCGTTGTCGTCGTCGTCGTCGTCGTCGTCCGACATCTTCGGCGGGACAGGGTCGATCTAGTTTAGGGACCGCCAGTCATGAGTCCGCTCTTCTAGGTATCAACCCGCCCTCCCATCACGTAAGTAATATACCCAAGCCTCAGCATGTTGGGTGGTCGTCTTTGGATGGACAGCTATTGGGAACACAAACCAACCGCATGTGCGCGACGCTGGGGAGATGTGCGCCACGTGTGCCAGGCGCGCCACGCGCGCCAGGCACCCCTGGGTCCCGAAAGTGCCAGGCACGCCTGGTGCTCCAGATGCGCTGCGTGCTCCACGTGCGCCAGGTGTGCTGCATATTCCAGCCGCGCCATGTGCACCACGTTCGGGGCACGTGCAGAGTGTGTCATGTGCGCCTGCGCACGTGACAGCACACATCGGGAAACGTATCGGCCCCCACCATCCTTGTCGAAAACCAATGCCCATCATTGTTTCTGGAGGGCCTGCACACAGCAGGCCATGCGCCACCACTCCCGCCATCCCTGTCAAAAACCACTTGACAGTGATCGCGGGGTGGCCGCGCATGATCCAGATTTAGCCGCGAGGTGCATGTTGTATTGCTTTTTGTCAGGGATGGTGGCCCTGCGCGCAGCACGCAATATGCTGACACCCCTGCCCTCCCTGTCAAAAAAACAACACAAAGTGCCCGCGGCCCTCACGAACATGATTCAAGTCTTTGCCCCAAAGTGTACTTGTATTGTTTCTTGACAGGGGTGGTAGTGTGGGACCCGCATCGGGTTGGTTGCGCAGGCTCCGAATATAGAGGCAGAGTGTGTTTTCGTATTTTTTGAAACAGGGATGGCAAGGGGTGGGGACCATGAGGTCGGCATTGCTCCTGATTGGCTGCCGGTCGCCTGGGGGAGGGGGTGTATACCAATAGGGAGCATTGAGGAACCCCTCCCAGGGAAGAAGGGCATGGACGAGGAAACTCACTAAACCACTCACGCACAGAGCTGGTGGGATAATTACGCGCCTCGCGGTCTGGACTGGAGAACTGTTCTCCCTCTCCAGAGTGAGCTGCGCGAGAGCGGGGAGATGCACCGCGCTTCGCCCTTCGTGCAACACGAGGCGCGAACGTAGAATACCTGGTCGAGGGCGCTCCTTAGACTACGTCGTTTCCGCTCTGGTCAACCTGCGAGTGTTCGCTGTCCTCTCCCAGACAGGTGGCGGTGGCCAAACGCTGGCGAAGCCGAAGGATGGCACGCCCGACACGGTTCCCCGGGAGCCTAACCCGACGCGCTGGGTATTTCAGCCTCGTCTCCTGTTCCCTCCCTCCCACCTCTCTCCTTGGGGGCCGCCAAGAAGAGGGTGTCATGGCTAGGGAGGGGTGGATATCATTGTCGGTGCCAGATTACATGCATCTCTGATATTGTTTCAGTGCGCGTCCTTTGCCCCCCCCCCCCCCCCTGGCCTGCTCCGCGATCTTGCCTGAGGCCATGGTTTGTGAACCCCCCTGTCGGACTCCTCTTGGACGCCCCCGATCTTCCCAATCTCCGTCTACCGCCCTCTCCCCGTCTTTCCTCCCTGGCACCTTCCTCCCTTCTCCCGCTCCTCCATCGCTCCTGCTCCTCACGACGTGACAGGCGGCCACGGCCGTGCCAGGGTCGCATTGACACTTGGGGTTGCACGCATCCTGACTTCACTCAGCAACAGTCACAATTCTAGGGTTGCGTGCCCATTCCTGTTGGGTAATCACGTGCGCTACGATGCTCATCTGCTGGCACCATGTGCAGCATCGTAAGCCGGGCCTACCACGCCATCTCGGAAACGATGTGTCAGTGCAGACTGCCCGCCAATGCAGATTGTCCGCTGTGCAGAATTGCACGCATCCGCCCAATCTTAACAATGGTGACTGCCAGAATGTAGGACCGTCAAGTTCACGGAAGTATCCATCAAGCTGCCTTTTATTTCTTAACACGTCTGATCGCAAAGCTGGAGAACGTCTCAAGTCAGAACCCCGTTTTGATCCGGAACCGTTCTGCATCCATGCAGTTGGTGCACATGCTTGAACAATTTGTCATGCAGCTCGAACGCATCTGAAACCAGAGCCCCATTCTGAACATGGGCCGCCGTCTATTCATGTTACGAGGCGCTAAGGCAAGAGCTGCCTTCTGAAAGCAGTCTGCCCTCCGGATCAGAAGTGTGATATTATAGATTGATGTGCCTGGACCGCTCTATCGACACGTCTGGCGGTGCGACGATCATGAGCTGTTTGTATGGAACAGGAGCGAAGGAGGCGGATGGGGGTGAAGTTCGGGTTGGATGACGATGGGTTTTCTCATCAAGATTGATGAGTGGAGCGTTGTGCTACTCAGAGTGTGTCCAGAAAGGTTATCGGCTGGAGTGGTCTTCATCTCGCTGACGGCGAACTGGGGATCGACACCGTGAAGCTTCAGAACGTGAGGGTCCAGGCCGCGGGTGCTTCTTCTCCTTCTTTGTCGTTCTCCTCCTCGGGTCCCCCGAGAGCCTCCCAGAACCCCTAGAAATCCCAATGCCCCGATCCAATCCCCTCCTCCTGAGCTTCGCAGTGGGCCTTGGCAGCCTCCTAAGCGCAGACCAGCCGCCAGCGGGAGGGCTGTGGTCCTCCCTCTCCGGGGGACCCAGCTGCTCTGACGCCCCTCTCGAGAGGTGGTCGGCACGCCCACATCTTCCCCAGCTGTGGCTGGCCGGTGGCGCCAACGCCGACAGTGCGGAGGGTGTCGCCAACGTCTGCTGGGTTCGCCCGAGCCATGAGCTTTCTTTGTGTGTCTTTCGCGTCTAGGCTTTGGATGGGAGGAGGGGGGGAAAGAGGAAGGAGGGGGGGGAGGGAGGGAGGGAGGGAGGGCGGGAGGGAGGGAGGGAGGAGGAGCAGGAGGACGACGAATAGGAGGATTAGGATGAGGACGAAACGGACAGATGATGATGATGATGATGATGATGATGATGATGATGATGATGATGATGATGATGATGATGATGATGCTGATGATGATGATGATGATGATGATGATGATGATGCTGATGATTATGCTGATGATGATGCTGATGATGATGGTGATGGTGATGGTGATGGTGATGATGATGACGATTGTGATGATGATGCTGATGATAATGATGATGATGATGATGATGCTGATGATCATGCTGCTTCTGATGATGATGCTGGTTCTGCTGAAGATGATGCCCATGCTGCTGATGATGACTGATGGTGACTGATGATGATGCTGATGATGATGATGATGATGGTGGCGGTGATGGTGATGATGGTGATGGTGATGGTGATGGTGGTGGTGATGATGATGCTGCTGGTGGTGGTGGTGATGATGGTGATGGTGATGATGATGGTGATGATGCTGATGCTCATGATGACGTGGATGATGTTGATGATGATGGTGCTGATGATGACGATGATGATGGTGATGACGCTGATGCTTATAGTGGTGGTGGTGGTGATGATGCTGATGTTGATGCTTCTGCTGATGCTGATGCTGGTGATGCTGATGATGATGATGATGATGATGATGATGATGGTGATGGTGAGGATGATGATGCCGATGATGATGATGATGATTATTATCATGATGGCGCTGATGATGATAATGATGATGATGATGCTGATGCTGATGATGCTGCTGATGATGATTATGATGCTGATGATGATGATGCTGATGATGGTGATGATGATGATGCTGATGCTGATGCTGATGATGATGATGATGCTGATGATGATGATGATGATGATGATGATGCTGATGATAATCGGGATCGAGCTCGGATGGAGCGCCGCGCGCGTCGAATGAGCGGAACAATCTAGGAGGTGGCCCAACGACCCAGACGAGCATTGCGGCCAGGGCGTCCTATCCGCGCATCACTGGAGGCGACAACAAACATGACAGTCGAACGCGAACGATTCCCGCGAGCAATAACCATGTCAGAGCCTCATGACCAACGACGAGGGCACGATAGACAGGAATCCTGACACCAGGGTCGCCGGGGCAAAAACCTTGCAAGAAACGCTTCAAACGAGCACGTTTGTACGGCTCTCGACGAAGTTTTGTTGGATCGCAAGGCAGCAGCAGGCCTCCCCGAGCCGCGCCTCGCGCATAGGATCCGCACGCCGTGCACGCCACGAACTCGCTTGCGACCCTGAGCCTATACGCCTCAGGCGGCACGAGGCATGATGAAGATGCTGATGATGATGCAGATGATGCAGATGATGCAGATGATGATGATGATGATGATGCAGATGATGCAGATGATGCAGATGATGATGCAGATGATGATGATGATGATGATGATGATGATGATGATGATGATGGTGATGCTGATGATGATGACGATGGTGATGCTGATTATGCTGATGATGGTGATGATGGTGGTGGTGGTGATGGTAATGGTGATGGTGATGATGATGATTCTGCTGCTGCTGATGATGACACTGATGATGATGAATATGTTGCTGATGATGTTGCTCCAGATGATGATGATGATGATGATGATGATGATGATGATGATGATGATGATGATGATGATGATGATGATGATGATGATGATGATCACGATTGTGCTGATGCTGATTCTGGCGATGATGATGCTGATGGTGATGATAATGATGATGGTGGTGGTGGTGATGATGGTGATGTTGATGGTGATGCTGATTATGATGATGATTATGCTGACGATGTCAATGATGATGCTGACGATGATGACGATGATGCTGATGCTGATGATGATGCTGCTGATCATGATAATGATGATGACGATGCTGGTGATGATGTCGTGGATGCCGATGTGGATGATGGTCTTGATGATGACGCTGACGGTGATGACGATGATGCCACTGATGCTAATACTTAAGAGGATTATGTTGAATACGGTGATTGTGATGACGACGACGATATTGATCATACTGGGGGTAATGATGATGAGGACGAGGATTTGGATGGTGATGATGCTGCTTTTGCTGACGATGAAGGCGATGCTGATGTTGCTTACGGTGCACCTGCTGATGATGCTGATGAATTTCAGTGCTGCTGCTGATGGTGATGACGATGAACGCGACGATGATGTTGATGCTGATGCTGCTGATGATGCTGCTGCTCATGCTGATGCTGTTGATACTGACGATCATCCTGATGCTGTTCATGAGGACGATGCTGGACATGTCGCTGCTGTCCATGCTGTTGCTGATGCTGCTGATGCTGATGCTGCTGATGATGATGCTGACGCTGATGACGGTGCTGATGGTGTTGACGATGGTGATGATGTTCAGGATCTTGATGATGTGGGTGATGATGACGATGCCTATGATGATGATGACGATGATGCGGATGATGGTGATCATGATGACGATGATGATGGTGATGCTGATGCTGATGGTGATGATGACCATGATGGTGGTGACACTTATGATGCTGATGGCGATGCTGTTCTTTCTGACGATGTTATTGTTGATGACGATGACGTTAATGTTGATGGTGTTATTGTTATTCTGATGATGTTGTTATTGTTGGTGATGATTGTTATTGTTAATGTTAATGTTGATGATTGTTATTGTTATTTCTGATGATGTTATTGTTGGTGATGATGATGCTGACACTGTTGATGATTATGTTGATGATGGTGATGATGACACTGTTGCTGATGCTGATCCGGATGATGATGATGCTGATGATGATGACGACACTGATTCTCATTATGGTGGTGGCGGCGGTGATGCTGTTGCTCATGACCATGATTATTACGAGGAGGATGAGGAGGCGGAGGAGGAGGATGAGGCGGAGGAGGAGGAGGCGGAGGAGGAAGAGTGAATGAGGGAGTAGGGAGGAGGGAGGATGGAGGAGGGAGGAGGGATGCGGGATCAGGAGGGAGGGAGGGAGGAGAGAGGGAGGAGGGAGGAGGGAGGAGGGAGGAGGGAGGAGGGGGGAGGGAGGAGGGAGGGAGGGTGGGAGGGAGGGAGGAGGGGGAGGAACTGCTCCTGCCCCCCCCCCAGAGAAGGCCACCGCGAACGCGTCGGAGGGCAAGGCCCGGGGCTCAGTGTCTCGGGACGGGGGTCAGGGACGGCGGGGTGCCGCCTGGAGCGGCTCAGGGCTTTGGGCGCGCCCCTTCTTGGGGCGGAGCGGTGGGCTTGGGGTCGTCAAGGGCTTAGGGTCGCTGGAGCGTCCACGGCATGCTCCAGATTTCCCAGGAGATCTCTATATATCTAGGTCGTTTTTTTGTTACGATTCGTGTAGTTTTTTTTGGGGGGGGGATGCGCTTCGCTTTGTGTGGCCCTATCCCAACAGGTCGACTGGCGAAAAGTCGCCAAGCCCTGAAGAATGTGGGGTGGGGCAGGGGTGGTGGAGCCAGAATCAATGACCCCTTAGTCACGAGGCGGGTCTTCTTCCACAGCCACCGTCTGGGGGATGGATCTTCGCGGCCCCTGGCGGGCGGTGGATATGGATATCTTTTGGGCACCTGGGAGCCCCAAGACATCCATATTCACCGCCCCCTATGGTCCAAGGACATCTTTGCCCCAGGCTGTGGATATGGATGACTCCCCGCCTCGCATTGGTGCAAACGCACAGGGGTGTCACGAGGCGGACACCGGCTGGCACCTGGGCGGAAACCCGGAAGCGAGGTGCAATCTTTTTAACGGAGTCGCTCTCCATCGGTGTAACAGTCGCACACTTTCACGTTTCTGGCTGTTACGTCACAACTTTTTGAGCGGCCCTTACCTGTCGTCCCGAGGCCCTTTCTTGTAAACCGGCGCAGACCGCAGAACAGAAAATTGTGAATTCAACCGTGCCAGATGCATACATTCATGCCGCACAAACATATGTTGACACTCAGGACATATGTGTACTTTTCGAGTTCATGTGTTGGCAACTCCGCAGGTAATCTCAGGTGATCACATCAGAAGGTCGTGGCACCATAATTTCCATGGCGTCCAGGTACTGTACGATCGAATTATTTTCCAGATCCCTTCAGAGGGTTGCGATCGATCGGATACGCTCAACCCAAATTGAGAAGGAAACATCTGATATGCGTGTACCAGTTGAAAACTCGTACGACTAATTTGCGTTGCGCTGGAACAGGAACAGCCTTTCTGAGACCATTGGCCTTTCATCCGTTTATTTGCTGGAGGTCTGTTATCGAGTAGACGTGGCGCTACGGCGAGAGCCAAACAAAGCAGTGGATTTGCACATGTTTGGACCCAAAGGGCCGCCCATCCATCTATACCAGCCGCCTCATGGGGTCTGCGGACATGAGGCTTACGCGTGTCGCTGCGTTTTCAGCCGGATCGATTTCTCGGTGTGCGATGCGTCGATCGAGTTGCGATCGCAGGTGTGATCGATTTGCGATCTGTGGATTGACGAGTATGAGGGGCGAAAAGGGAAGAGGGAGGACAGGCAAAACCTTCCTCCCTCCTCCTTTTATCCACTCGACGTCTAGTCCAGAACCCCCAGAGCTCGCGTAAGATCGGCAGCAGTCGTCCACGGCAGGTTGTTGAGTTGATCCGAGCTCCACGAGCTTGATTCGGTCGGGATCTACCCACTCGACGTAACGAGAGGGAGGAAGGAGGAAGGGGCCCAGGGTGCGCGACCTCGGCACCGAGATGCCCCCGTCCTTCTTCCCCTGCTCCGCTCCTCCCTCCCTGCCTGACTGCCAAAGGCAGCGGGGCCAGCGAGGCGGGAGTTGGCCCGCCTTCCCCTCCGCGGCACGGCTGTGCCACCCGCCGGAGGGGGTCGGCGACGGCAGACGAGGTCTGGAAGCTTGGCGGCAGGGTGCGCGACCTCGGCATCAAGCTGCCCCCGTCCTTCCAGCCCAACTGGGAGGCCCGCGGGCCCCCGCCGACGAAGGAGAGAGACCACGACGAGGGCAGGGGCAGCCCCCTGCCAGAACGCGCTGTGCAGGGCGCCCCCCTCGCCTCCATGGGCGAGGCGCCCCTCTCCCTCGCGCCCACGCGCAGAGGGGGCTGGGGTCGGGGAGGGGAAGGCTCCTTGGGAGCACCCGTACCTCCTAGAAGGCGCGGGCTTTGTCTAGAGACGCAGGGCCGGCGCCCTCTGAGAGGCAGCCTCCTTCTGAGGAGCCTCCCCCCCGACCCCTGCTTCCCTCCGCGCGCCGCCACACGTGGCAGGGCGCCCCCCTCACCCCTATGGGTGAGGTGCCCCTCTCCCCCAGGATGACGGGGGTTCGTGGAGGGAGGGCTCGGTCTGGCGCCGGTGCCTCCCCCTTTTGTCTGCGTCTGTGTCTTGGCATCGCTCGGACGTGTGCATCTTTTTCTCGGCAAGGACCATCGTGGAGCATTTTTGTTCACCTTGCGAAACACACGCGCGAAACCGACAAATGCACAGGGAGTGGACGTCCAAACGATAGCGAGGTGTGTGTGTGTGTGTGTCTGTTTGCGTGTGTGTGTGTGTGTGCGCGGGATGAACGTGGGCGGCGAGAAGGAGGAGGCTAGCAATTACCGGCTTTCGATGCAGTTGTTTTTCATGGCGTTTGGGGGTCCGTCTCTGGCCGCGGGGATGGAGCAAAAACCGACCCATGATGGCAGGATGGCCAATTTAGCCTTCGGAATGGGTCGGGGGACCCTTCTGGAACGGATTTTGGTCGGGAGGAGGTTGGCCAAGGAATGGCTTGACATTGCTTCTTTGTTTGTGAGACGTGCGTCGCGCATTGCGTACTCGTCAGGGGGGGCGTGTTGTGGGTGTGACGTGGACTGAAGAGAAGACGCAAAGGGTGGCGAGGAGGGCGGGAAGGGGGGTGGGAGTAGGTCTGGTGTCATTGATGACTTGATGTCTCCGTGCACCACGTCTTGAGCCATCGGTGCTACGATGTGTCGATGTATGGATGCATTGACTGCTGGAGGCGTTGCTGTTTTGACAGTGTGGTGTGTGGTGTCATGTCCTTCACTGACGGGCTTGGGCACTGGTGTCTCGACGGCTTGATGCCGTCATGCCGTGAGGCCTCGCGGGGGCTCCAAACAGGCTTGCGCCTCCCCCCTCTCATTCCACCTGAGACGGGGGGAATGGTCCCGTTCGGGGAGGAGGAGGAAGGGGGAGGAGGAGGAGGAGGAGGAGGAGGAGGAGGAGGAGGAGGAGGAGGAGGGAGGAGGAGGAGGAGGAGGAGGACGAGGAGGAGGAGGGAGGAGAGGAGGAGGAGGAGGAGGAGGAGGGGAGAGGAGGAGGAGGAGGACAGGAGGAGAGGAGGAGTAGGAGGAGGGCAGGATAAGGAGGAGCAGGAGGAGGAGGAGGAGCAGGAGGAGAAGGACGAGGAGGATTTGGAGGAGGAGGAGGAGGTGGAGGAGGAGGAGCAGGAGGAGCAGGAGGAGAAGGAGGAGGAGGAGGAGGAGCAGGAGGAGGAGGAGGAGGTGGAGGAGGAGGAGGAGAGTGACGAGGAGGTTGACGAGGATCAAGGAGGAGGACGACGACGACGACCAGAGTTCGACCTCTGGGAAACGTCCCGTTCGTGGAGGGGGCGTGGGTCCCCTGGACCCTGGATCACAACCGAACCGTCAGCGTGAGCGTTGGAAGCCCTGCTCTGCCCTGGAGTGACCTTCCCGGGGGTGTCGCAAGTTCCCGAGGACGAACCAGAAGATGCGGCTGCAACCGAAGTTCCCAACAACTGTGAAGCACCTGACCCCACCCCAGAGGAAACCATTCCCCTGGCAATGCGGCAGTGGGGGAATACCGACCCAGCGCATTCCACCCCAGTCGATCTACGTGGGTGAGTGAGTGACTCCGCGCTCCGCGCCGTCGTAGCCGAAGCTCTGACATGGGCGTTGGAAGCCCTGGCGCGGCCTTCTCGGGGGCGTCGCAATGCCCCGAGGACGAGCCAGACGAAGTGGCTGCAGCCGAAGCTTCCGACGCCTGCGAAGTACATGACCCCACCCCAGGGGATTCTGCCTCCCTGGCCATGTGGGGCGGGGGCGATCAGGAACTCGCACCAGTCCCTCCAGCCGATATAGCTGTGTGGGTGATTCACCTCCCGCTCTGCACCGTCGTAGCCAACGCTCTGACGTGAGCGTAGGTAGCCCTGCGCCCTGCTCTGCCCTGGCGAGACGGCCTCCCCTGGGGCGGCGCTGGGCCGCAGCATTGACAGCGAGCATAAAGAGGCCGAACTATGTGGTGCAGATGGCGGGCTCCCCCCTCGGCGCCATGACCCGCCAAAGTGGATGGTGACGTGTACGTTGAAGTGGCTGCCTGTCGTCACCGGCCACCGTGGAACGTTCATCTCTCAGGAGAGCTCGCGCATGCGACTTCAGCTTGCTGCCAATCGTCTCCAACCTGGCACGTCCCACTTGATCATCGACAGAGACGTTGACACCATCGTCTGCGGGTTGAGGTACCACGGCGCCTCCTGCTGCAGGGCCTACAGGCCCCGCCGCTGACGAAGCTGCCCCTCGACCCGAACCTGCCGAAGCCGCTGCAGCTCCAACGGTCTCAGGAATAGGGCGTCTGGGGAGTTCGGTTTCCGCTTCTTGGTGACATTCTCGCGAATGCCCGAGAGGTTGTCACGATGATCTTTGAGCTTCTCATGCGCCTCACCGAACGTGGCCTTCCTCGTGCGGGGGAACAGATACTACTGCTTTCTTCATTTTGCGATCTTGGCATGGCAGCAGCATCAATGGTACTAGCATCGTTAGCGCTCTCCGTGCCCAACGAGATAGAGAAACGATGCTCATCAACATTGGACTCTGACAGCACTGCTGAGAGGTCAATCGTCGAGCGCGCTGCTGGACCACCTGCTCGCTGTGGCGGAACCATGCACCGACACGACTCAGCACGCTCCTGCTCTGCCTGCGCCAGGCTCGTCGCCGCTCGAGAGTGAGCTTTGCCTGCTGGGCCGGAGCCTGGCCCAAGGCCTTTGGGGCCCGCGGGGCCTTGCTCGCCACGCCGCCGCCACCTGCTGCGCAACTGGCGGCGTGGACTCCCGACGCTTACCCTCGGCCCGGCTGGCCTGCAGCAGCGCCTGAGCCGCTCCTTGGCGTCGCTCGGGCGTGTGCACCTTTTCTTTCGGCAGGGACCATCGAGGGACAGTTTTGTTCACCTTGCGAAAAATACACGCACGACGCCGACAAATGCACAGGGAATGGACGTCCGAGCGATGGCGAGCTTGATTACAGCCTCCAACTGCGCCTCGAGAGCCGAGACCGACTGCTGAGACTGTCAAGGACCTTTTCCCTCTGGTCTTCCTGCCTCTTGGACCACCGGCGCCCTTGCCCCCCTCTGCTGGAGGTTGGTTGCTGAATGGAGCACCGCAGAGACAAGCATTCCTTAGCTATCTGCAATCTGGACGCCCAAGCCCAACGCGTGCTGGGCGAGCACTTAAACTTCTTGTCGCTGGGGTTGGGACTGGACTGGAGGTCTGGGCGGCGTCCCCCAGCTGGCATCGGCGGCGGTGGAGGGACAGAGCTTTGCTGCGGCTGCTGAGCCACGTGCCACGGAGCCCATGACAGTGTCGAGAGGCATGTTGCTGCGGGCCATGCTGAAGAGGAAGAGTGGGTCACTGATCCTCATCATTGTCCTGCTGATCTTTGCGTCTATCACGGCCCTTCTTGTCTTCACCCAGTTTCCGACCGACGATTTGCGCTCTTCAATCCGTGACTAGAAATGTAGGAGCCCAGCCAACATCGTGTGGAGATCGTCGGGGGCCCTGGAAATCCGCAGCACACCCACGGTGACGCACGCAGTCGGAGCCCAAACGGCTGGGAATGAGGGATGGAGGGAGGGATGGATGAGGAGGAGGAGGCGAAGGAGGAGGAGGAGGCGGAGGAGGAGAAGGAGAAGGAGAAGAAGGAGGAGGAGGAGGAGGAGCCAGGAGGAGGAGGAGGAGGAGGAGGAGGAGGAGGACGAGGACGGTGGCGGTGACGACAACGACAATGACGATGACGATCCTTCTAATGCTTAGGATGAGCTTTATGATGATGATGATGATGATGATGATGATGATGATGCTCCTGCTGACGCCGACGCCCGCGACGACGATGATGAGGCTTGTCATGCGGCTGCTGCGGCTGATGATGATGATGATGATGATGATGCTTGTGATGATCTGATGGTCCTGATGATGGGTAATGATAATCATGCTGCTGATGCTGATGCTGATGATGCTGATCCTGCCGATGATGATGATGCTGATTATGCTGATGATGATGATGATGGTGATGATGATGATGAGGCTGATGATGATCATGATGATGATGCTGATGCTGATGCTGCTGTTGATGATGATGATGAGGATGAGGACGATGCTGACGACGATGATGATGATTTCGATGCTGATGATGATGATGATGACGATGATGATGATGATGATGATGATGATGATGATGCTGATTCTGCTTATTTTCCAGATGATGATGCTGATGTTGATGTTGCTGCTGATGATGGTGATGATTATGATTATGATGCTGATGCTGATTCGGCCGATTATGACTCGGCCGATGATGAAGATGATGATGATGCTGATGATGATGATGATGACAATGCTGATGATGATGCTGATGCTGGTGACGATGCTGATGAGGATGATGATGACTATAACTATGCTGATGATGATGGTGATGAGGATGATGATGATGATGATGATTTTGAAGATGATGATGATGATGATGATGATGATGATGATGATGATGATGATGATGATGATGATGATGCTGATGATGATGATGATGATGATGAGGAGGATGAGGATGATGAGTAAAATGGTGATGATGATGACGATGATGATGATGCTGAGATGATGATGATGATGATGATGATGATGATGATGATGATGATGATGATGATGATGCCGGTCTCATGATGCTGATTCGGCTGATGCGGCTGATGCGGTTGTTGATGATGATGCCGTTTCTGCTGATGATGATGCGGACCGTGCTGTTGATGAGGAGGATGATGTGGTTTGTATGATGCTGTTGTTCATGATGATGCTGATGATGATGATGATGATGATGATGATGATGATGATGATGATGCTGCTGATGCCCATGATGATGAGTAGGGTGACTCTGATGATCAGGAGCATGATGAGGACGAGGAAGAGGATTACGAGGACGAGGTCAATGATGACGATGACAGTGGCAATGGCGATGACGCTGGCGATGATATTGAGAATTGACGTTGTGGTTAATGATGCTGCTGATGATGCTGAGATTGGCGTCGTTGTTGTGATGATGACGACGATGCTGATGATGATGATTATGCTGATGATGCTGATGCTGATGCTGATGCTGATGCTGATGATGATGATGATGATGATGATGATGATGATGATGATGATGATGATGATGATGATGATGATGATGATGATGATGATGATGTGGATGCTGATGGTGATGCTGATGCTGCTGCTGCTGATGATGATGATGACGATGATGATGATGCTGATGACGATGATGATGACGGAGAGGAGGAGGAGGAGGAGGAGGAGGAGGAGGAGCAGCAGGAGGAGGAGGAGGAGATGGAGGAGGAGGAGGAGGAGGAAGGAAAAAGAGACGGGAGGATTCGAGATGACACGGGAGCCTGCGCAAAACCCGCCTTCAATTGTCTTGCTGACCCTCGGCTTTCTCCCCAGGCGAATTGGCCGGGCTCGAACGCCAAGCTGACGCCCAGCGGCGACCTCGTGATCGCGAAGACCTCCGACTTCGGAGACGAGGGCATGACCTTGAAGCAGACCCCGCCAAAGGCGGGCCCCGCGGTCGGAGGAGGGCGTCCCTGTGCCCCTTCTTCCTTCCCCTCGTCCCTCGTTGTCGTCATCCCTTTTCTCCAATTCCTCCTTGTGATTAGAAGTGCTTGTGTATACTGCTGTGCACACGTGCAGCTCATGATGCCTCGAGCTCTGGTGAAACAAACGAGTCCTTCCTCTGCGCTTCTTTCCGGGCGGCGATCGCGAGGACGCCGACGATGGTCACATCATCATCAAGATTCTTTCGGGCCCCAGGGACCCTCTCGGTTTACAGTGGAGGTTCGAGGAGTATCGAGGTTGGGAGTGGAACACGTGGTTGGTCTCTCTTGGCTGTTTGCATTTCTACACCAAGGACCCCGAGGCCGACCAGGCGGTCGCCCAGATAAGGTACCCTGTCTCGAACGAGTCAGACCGACGCAGCAGCAGTACGCCGCGGAGGGCTATACCCACTACGACGAGGTGTCGATACGGAGCTACGATGTCCACATTTGGACCCGAGTGGAATCTCACGTGGCGCATGATGGTCGCTCAGACTGCGGACGACACCTGCAAGCATCAAGAACCTGAACAGTTGGCGTCGTCAGTACAGGGAGATCGACAGACAATCTTGGTGGATTCCATTGCAGTTTGCGGCGACAAGGGGAACGCACGAAGATGGCTATGCAAAGATGCGGACGACGAGATCTTCATGACAGCAGATGGCGGCAACGGCAAAGCTAAGCGCGTGGCGAGCCCCCCGCGTTTTCTACGAGCTCGGAGTCTTCAGCACTGACACAGGGAAAGGGCAACGGCTCCGAACCAGGTCTACGATAATATTCAGGACGTCAAGTGCCAGATCTTCGACGAGAAGACGATCTACGACAAGCAGACGGTCAAGCATACGGAAAGGAACCGATCCTGGATCCAGCTACCTGCGAGCACCCCCCCTGAGTGGTTCACGACTCAGGGAAGCAATCAGTACAAAGAGAAGGTGAAATGCAGGGCGTGCTTCCAGGTGCTGACGGACCAGGACACACCCCAGTGGGCGGAGGAGAGGCGGAGCCGTGCCGAGGTCAAGAAGCGTTTTGCTAAGCCGAGATTGCTTGTCAATTCAGAGCCCAGCAGGGATGGCACGTGCGAAGGATCGAGGCAGACCTAGGATTGAGCTTTTAGCGCAGTGGCGCCGCATTGTTTTGACACAGTCGAAATTCAGCTGGCTGAACCCATCTTCAGTAACATAGCGAGCCTTGCTGCGAGCTGACGCGCAGGCCCGAGCGTGCACCAGACACCCGAATAAAGTTCAGACCCGTGTGATTAGAAGACATGGCGTATACTGTTGCTCACACGTGCGGCTCATGATGCACGCTATGCACGTTTATTCTCAAACCGTTCAGGCGCACTGAGCCCTGGCGAGACCAACGAGTCCCTCCTGTGCGCTTCCTCCCGGGCGGCGATAGCGAGGACGCGTTTTTTTCGGGCCCCAGAGACCCCTTCGGTTTGCAGTGGACGTTCGGGGAGTATCGGGGCTCCTCTTCCTCTGCCTCCTGCTGTTCCGGAGGGGGTCGGGAGAGTGACAGGGAAAGGGAGGCGGGATGAGGAGGAGGAAAGGAGGAGGAGAAGGAGGAGGAGGAGAAGGAGGAGGAGGTTGTAGAGGATGATGATG